ATATTAAAACTTTCAAGCTGAAGTCAATCAGCATTTACGGCACTTAGACTTAAAACCTGGTAGTCACGGAGGGGCGTCTGGGTGGCTCAGTTGTTTAAACAACTGCCTTTCACTCAGGTCATGATCCCGGGTCCTGGGATCGAGTCCCACATCGGGCCTCCCTTGCTCTGTGGGGAGCCTGCTTCTCCCTCTCCCTCTGCCTGCCACTCTCCCTGTTTGTGCTCTCTGTCAAATAAGTAAATAAAATCTTAAAAAAACTAAAGCCAATTTTTTTTTAAAGATTTTATTTATTTATTTGACAGAGAGAGACACAGCGAGAGAGGGAACACCAGCAGGGGGAGGGGGAGAAGGAGAAGCAGGCTCCCCGCAGAGCAGGGAGCCCGATGCGGGACTCGATCCCAGGACCCCGGGATCATGACCTGAGCCGAAGGCAGTCGCTTAACCGACTGAGCCACCCAGGCGCCCAATACGTCGAAAATGTATAAACAAAAAGCCCACATATATTTAATGTGGAACTTCCAGGAAGTGGGTGCACTTTAATGTTTTCTTTTTTTTTTTTAAAGATTTTAATTGACAGAGACACAGCCAAAGAGGGAACACAAGCAGGGCGAGTGGGAGAGGGAGAAGCAGGCTCCCCGCCGAGCAGGGAGCCCGATGTGGGACTCGATCCCGGGACTCCAGGATCATGACCTGAGCCGAAGGCAGTCGCTTAACCAACTGAGCCACCCAGGCGCCCAAAAGTGGAAACATTTGAGAACAATTTTCAAGGGTTGAATTTTCTTACTTCCAAAGTGTGTCCAAGTCTTCCTAGAGGTTGGGCACTCCTACCTTAGATCTCCCTAGTCCCATCATGTCTAAAACAAACATATAGGGGCACCTGGGCGGCTCAGTTGGTTAAGCGTCTGCCTTTGGCTCAGGTCTTGATCCCAGAGTCCTGGGATCAAGTTCTGCATCGGGCTCCCTGCTTGGTGGGGAGTCTGCTTCTCCCTTTGCCTCTCCCCCTGGCTTGTGTGCTCTCTCTCTCGCTCACTCTCTCTCAAAATAAATAAAATCTTTAAAAATATATATAAAATAAAACAAATGTATAAAAATACGTCGAAAATGTTTTTTTTTTTTTTTTAAAGATTTTATTTATTTATTTGACAGAGAGAGACACAGCGAGAGAGGGAACACCAGCAGGGGGAGGGGGAGAAGGAGAAGCAGGCTCCCCGCAGAGCAGGGAGCCCGATGCGGGACTCGATCCCAGGACCCCGGGATCATGACCTGAGCCGAAGGCAGTCGCTTAACCGACTGAGCCACCCAGGCGCCCAATACGTCGAAAATGTATAAACAAAAAGCCCACATATATTTAATGTGGAACTTCCAGGAAGTGGGTGCACTTTAATGTTTTCTTTTTTTTTTTTAAAGATTTTAATTGACAGAGACACAGCCAAAGAGGGAACACAAGCAGGGCGAGTGGGAGAGGGAGAAGCAGGCTTCCCGCGGAGCAGGGAGCCCGATGTGGGGCTCGATCCGAGGACCCTGGGATCATGACCTGAGCGGGAGGCAGACGCTTAACCAACTGAGCCACCCAGGCGCCCCATTTTAATGTTTTCTATAAGGTGCCCAGGGCCTGTATATCAGGAGAGTTTTTGGCGGCGCGTAACAGAAACTCAAAGGAAATCGCTTTAAAATTAAGGGAAACTTTTGGGGCGCCTGGGTGGCTCAGTTGGTTAAGCGAATGCCTTTGGCTCAGGTCATGATCCTGGAGTCCCAGGATCGAGTCCCGCATCGGGCGCCCTGCTCAGCAGGGAGTCTGCTTCTCCCTCTGACCCTCCCCCCCATGTGCTCTCTCTCTCTCTCTCAAATAAATAAATAAATAAAACCTTAAAAAAATAATAAAATTAAGGGAAACTTTCACATAACAAGTCTGGAACGAGGAGGTCTCCATGGCCGTTAAGTCAGTGGCTCCGATGAGGGAACAGGGGCTGAAGATGGAGTTATGATCAATCACATCTATGTGATGAAGGCTCCATAAAAAAAAATCCCTAGGGGTGCCTGGGTGGCTCAGTCGTTAAGCCTCTGCCTTTGGTTCAGGTCATGGTCCCAGGGTCCTGGGATCGAGCCCCGCATCGGGCTCCCTGCTCTGCAGGAAGCCTGCTTCTCTCTCTCCCACTCCCCCTGCTTGTGTTCCTTCTCTTGCTGTGTCTCTCTGTCAAATAAATGAATAAAATCTTAAAAAAAAAAAAAATCCTTAAACTATAGGGTTTGGAGCTTCTGGGCTGGTGAACACATCTACGTACTGGGAGGGTGACATACCCTAACTCCATGGGGACAGAGAAGCTCCTGGACCTTGTCTTTCACGTCTCTTCATCTGTATCCTTACATATCACTTGTTATATAATAAACCAGTAAACATAAATGTTTCCCTGAGTTTTGTGAGCTGTTACAGCAAATTATTGAATCTGAGAAGGGGGCTTTGGGAATCTCCAATTTATAGCCAGTTGGTCAAAAGCGCAGGTGACCCCTGGGACTTGGGGGGGGCACCTGAAGGGGGGTGGGCAGGGAGTCTTGTGGGACTGAACCCCTAACCTGGGGGGCCTGCACAAACTCGAGGTAGTGCCAGAATTGAATTGAATTCTAGGACACCCAGTTCGTGTCTGCCTAAAACTACAGACTTGCTTGGTGCAGAAACCCCACACATTTGGTGTCAGAAGTGTTCTGTGGCTAGAGGAAACAGTTTTCCCTTTTAGTTGGCGGAGAAGTGGGATTTGCTAGAACCGCCCAGGCTCATGGAAACATGTGGTTTGGGAAGAGAAAGGAAGGGCAGGGAAGAGGAACCTTTGATTCCTGGGTGGCCACGTAGCCACGGGCAGCTGTGCCGTACTCAGTTACTAATGGTAAAAGTTACCGATGGAATTTAGAGATGGCTCCGACTCCTGGGGACTTGGGATTACTGGACACGTAAAGAAATGAGAGCAAAAAAAAAAAAAAAAAGCCACGTATACCATCCCCTGGTCATGGTTATCTGTAATAGCTAAAATGAAATCAAGAGTGCTGGTTGGGACGCTGATGCTCGACCAAGCTCAGATTTCATGAGTCTGAGCTTCAGCCCCTGACCTCAAAGCCACCTCCATAGGAAAAAATTATGCAGTCAATAGAAATTCCCTCTAAGGCCTCTGGTCACCAAGAGGGGAGTCAATGTGGGGGACGGCAAAACCAGGAAACTATTGAAACCAGGGAGTAGAGTGGGAAGGGGTTGTTTCATTTTGTGGATTGGTGGCATCAGCTTCCTGAAATTCTACCTGGGAATCCAGGGGAAGGGCATATAGGTGTTTATTGTGCCGTTCTTGCACTTCTTCTATCCATTTTATTTAAACTTTTCTGGGGAAGGGGCGCTGGCTGGCTCAGTTGGTAGAGCATGCGACTCTTGCCCTTGCGGTTGTGAGCTTGAGCCCCATGTTGGGTGTAGAGATTCCTTAAAAATAAAATCTTTTAAAAAAATTAAAAAGTTTGGGGAAACGGCCCCCAAAGTTCTTCCCATCTTTCTGCTCTGCTACCTGAAGCAGAGTCATGAGGGGAGAAGTATGTTGGGTTGGCCTCATGGTCACAGAATGGCTGCAACAGCTTCCACACCCAAAGCCCAGAGGAGTGTTTCCCTCCTCCATCCAGGGCCTTCTTTAAAAGTGAGGCAACTATTTTCAGAATCTCCCAACAGACCTCCCCTCATGTCTTAGTCAGAAGTGTATCACAAGTCCATGGTTAAATCAATCACTGGATGGGGGGGGGGGGGAAGGGATCAAATAACCATGATTCAACCTTTAAACCAATCAAGAGTCCCTCCCCAGGACTGAGATGCCTCCCCCTTCTGATTCACAGACCACTATGTGCTTCCTTCAAGGAAATCAGGTTTCTGTCCACAAGAAAGGTGGCTGCTAGGACCAGAGTGGGGCCAGGGAGGCGGGCATTCACCTCCTCCGGGGGGGCACATGACCCAGGCTGGCCAAGAGCTCTGCTCTATCCCCTTGGACACAGGTTCTGAGATGGGCATGTGACATAAGCCGGGCCCACGAGAGTCAGCCCTGGGATGTGGGTCGGATGAGGCAGCTCAGCTAAGAGAGATACACCTGGGGAGGGCTGGACCACCTCACAGGGGCAGCCAGGGAACTCCCTTAGGCCTTAGCCGCCTGAGCGGAGTTCCTGGCAGAGCCAGAAGTCTCCAAGAGTGAAAAGAGGACTTTATGATGCAGCCAGGCTCTGTCACGCACTCCCTCTTCGCAGGAAGAGTCACACTGCAGAGCATCTCCCAGACCTCGCAGTCCCACCCCTCACTGCACGCTTGAGGGAAGAGGTTGAGCAGGAAGGCCTTGTGCAAACTCCTGTCAGTCAGGCCTGGAACAGCCGGGGCCTCTCCCCACGAGGCTGCCCTCAGCTAGCTCACAGCACCCGGGATGAGGGGTGCCTGAAGGGGGGAGGTGGGGCCGCAGCATCTCACCTGAGCTCCAGGAGAGCCGGGATCTCTTTCCCCTTCAGTCTTGGCAGAGCGGGGGCTGCAGCCTCCTGGATCAGCCAACATAAGTTCAAATCCGGCCTCAGGAGATCCCACTTTCTAGATGTGTGCCACTGGTAAGTTAGACCCACGTTTCTGGAGCATCTTTTTTTAAGTAGTGGGGCTTGAACTCAGGACCCTGAGATCAAGAGTCAAAAGCTTAACCGACTGAGCCACCTAGGCGACCCCTAACGCTGCATTTCTGATCCTCATTCCCCAGGTGGTAAAACGGGCCGAGTACTACAGGCTCGCCGTCTTCTGAAGGACTCAAACAAATTGGTATTTAAAGCCCCCATGAGGCACAATGTTCCATCGGGTTAAGGTAGTAAGTTCCACACACAGAAAATGCTCTGGTCCTGAGGTGGGTCATTTCATGCAGGGGAAGGGTGCACCGGGCCAGTTCTGTGGAGACCGGGCGCAGGCAGGGGGTCCTCCTCCCGCCCCGCTGCCCACACAGACTTGAGCCCACATAGACACTCCACTCGCACTTTATTAAGTACGGGAGGACTGGTTACAACAGAGGTGGAAGCGGTGGGAAGGGCCAGCCCCCACTCCCACCGTCACTGGCACACGATAATAAATAAATAAATAGCTGGGGGTGGGCATGGTGGGGGAGAGGTGGCACAGCAAACAGGGACAGCACAGGGAGGGACACGAAAGCCCCGCCCTCCGGAGCTATGGCCACCACCAACGCTGGCCTGGTACCATCATCAGGGAAGGGTGGGGGCTCCACTACAGAAGCCCCCAGAGCCACTGCGTGGCCCCCCGGATCACTATCTTTGTGGAGGAGGGGTGTCTTCAGCCCTTGAACCCTTACTTATTGACAGACATCTGGACCCCAAGCTGGTCCAGTCAGATCCAGACGGTCAAGGGGCCACTGTCTCTGACTTCTGGATTGTTCTCCTCAGGATCTAAGAGACCAATGAATCATTATTACTCCGTGTTCTGATTGGTCTCACTCAGGACCAAGGACATGAAAGGATCATTGCCACTTAGACTTCTGATTGGTCCACTCTGGCTTCAGAAGATCAAAGGGTCACTGTCACTTTAGGTTCCCAATGAAACCCCTCAGGACAGACCCATCAATGAGTCACTCTTGCTTAGCCTTCTGATTGGTCCATTCAGGGCACAGGAGGGTTAGTGGTTACCTAGGCCTCTGATTGGTCAACAGGAACCCAGGGCCAGGGCTCCAGGGGCAGATAGAGCTCTAGAGGCAACCTCCACCCCCAGCCCGCCCCAGGAGGGGCTAGGGGATTAAGTGTTCAGGGTTGGAGGAAATCTTCAGTGGGCATCAAGGCCCAGATTTCAAAGAGGGAAGGTCACAGGGGAGGAAATAAGGCCACCTGGCTGGGTCAGGCCAGGGCGAACTGGTGGGGGAAGGGGGACCGCTTCTGGAACAGCAAAGAGTGCCCAGCCACCCCTGGGAGGGGATGTGAGGGCCCTAAAGCCTTCCCTGGGTCCCAACCCCACCAGGCTGCAGAAAACGGGGCCCAGGAGCCTGCAGCTCTTGGCCCCTTGCCTCCATCTACGGGATCAGGGTGGGGTAGGGATGGGGCTGCAGTGCCGGTCACATGGGCTCAGTCCTCCAACCCCTCCATCAAGTCCGCGATGCTCTCCACATAGTAATGGGGCACGAGGTCGAGCTGGCCAGATGCCAGGTAGGCCTGGGCCTCCTCCAGGCGGGAGACGCCTGTGAGCGTGAGCAGGGTGGTCATGCCACAGCGGTGGCCGAAGAGGATGTCGGTCTCCAGGCGGTCGCCCACCATGAGCATGCGGGCGGGGTCCACGCTGAAGTGCTCGGTGATACACTCGAACATGTAAGGGCTGGGCTTGCCCACCACCAGGGCCTGGCGGCCAGAGGCTGTCTCCACGGCAGCAGCCAGGCTCCCGGTGCCTGCAGGGAGATGGAGACGTGGTCAGTGCCGAGTGGCAGCAGGGAAGGCATCCCGGTTCGGACGCTGGGCTTCCAGGGAGGCAGCTTGGCATGGGGGGGGGGGCGGTTAGATTAGGCACTGAAGTGAGTCAAAAGTCTTCCAAGTCTTATTGTAGTGGTTACAGGTACAGAGCCTGAAACCAGAGGCCTGCATTCAGACTCTGTCATCTCCACCCTTCTTAGGCAGGCCATTTCCCCTCTCTGTGCCTCAGTTTCCCCATCTCTAATATGGCCCTGTAGGGGCTGAATGAGCCACACTGTGTGTAACTGGGCCTGGCTCAGTCAGTCCTTGGAACAGGGGGATCCAAGTCAGGCCTACCTTCAAAGAGGTGCTGCGGGCACGGCAGGGGCAAGCGCATGGGAAACAGAAAAGCAGATAAAAGTGCCTGGGTAACAGAGAGAAGCTGTGGTTACTGCTGCAAGAATGCGGGCTCCTGGCAGCAGGACAGGGCACAGCCCTCTTAGAACGCGGCAGGGCACAGAAATGTTCGCGCCTCGGCCCCAGTCAGCCTCGGCGGCCGGGAAAGTGATCACAGGGAGAGAATTCAAGCCGGAGACAAAAAAGCTACATGCCTAAAGGTGTCGTGGCCGCAGTGACTATAATAAGCAAAACTGTGAACGCACCCAAGTATTTAACAATAGGAAGACTGTTTAGAAAAGGACAGCCCTGACTCTCAGCCCAGGACCGTCCTGCCCTCCCCCCCACACAATGAGTCCACTGTGTCCGTCCCACAGGCCCGTCTTTGTGCCCCAAGGTTCGGCCTTCACATTAATGTCCCTGAACAAACGATGATGCTGATCACAATTTACTAAGCACATTCTAAAGTGCCAAGGGCTGTGCTGGGAAGCCCATTTTACAGATGAGAAAGCTGACGCTCAGTGCCATTAAGTAACTTATCCAGGGTCGCACAGCCTAATAATGGCAGAGACAGGGTATGTGTCAGGTGGGTCTGACCCAGTCGTGCATTGGGCCAGCTGGTACTGGCTTGGGAGTGCTGAATGTTTCATTTTCAGGAATTTTGTGAGCCCCTTGTTAAAGCCACTATGAAAAAGTCAACTTATATAAACTTACGGTCTAATTATGTTTAAAACAAAGGAAATAAATTCTCAAAGTTCATTACTTCCTAATTATTTTGCCATTATCTGTGCTCTGGAGATTATTTACGTCTATAATGATGGAAATACTATATAATGGTGTGCACAAATCTTCCCAACTCCACATTCAGTGACTTGATGTTGGTAGCGTGAACCTTGCTACGGTGGGAGTATTTACACCACAGAGACTGGGAAATGGTATAGATCAACGCCCCCCTACCAACCCCGTTATTAAATCAAAGCTACAGAACGGAAGAACGGGCACAAATAGCAAGAGTCCTCAGCCTGGCCAGCCCCCAGACGAGGAGGAGGAACTTCCCCAGGGTCACGGGATCAGGGCAGAGCTGACCCAGAGCAGAGCAGAGCAACGCTGCTGCGAGGTTCTTCCTGACATCTGACCTAGAGCTTGCTTGCTTGTTTTCTTGATAACTGGGTAGGGAAGAAAAGCCATTTGCCCCGTTGGTTAAAAATTCCTTCCAGGATGGGAAGGGCTCAACTGAGTCACCCCAAAGTGTTTTTCTCCCCTCCAGAACGGTCTCAGCTGCATCAGCAACTTCCTCTCCCACCAGGACAGAGCTGATCACCCTTCGCCCCCCATGTCCCACTATATGCACTCAGCTAATATTTACTGAGGCCCAACTACACGCCAGGCACTCTGCTAGGCACTGGGCATACAGCAGGGCAGGCAGCACGGATCCCTACCCTAGGGGCGTGAGCATCCTAGCAGGGGCGTGAGGAACATAGCTCTGTCTTCAGACCACTATTATGCCACTTCATGTAACGTCCTATAATCCGGGGCGCCTGCGTGGCTCAGTTAAGTGTCCGACTCTTGGTTTCAGCTCAGGTCATGGTTTCAGGGTTGTGAGATGGAGCCCCACGTCCAGCTCCGCGCTCAGAGTCTGCTTGGGATTCTCTCCTTTTCCCTCTCCTTCTGCCCCTCCGCCTCTGCACCATTCCCTGCTCTTATGCTCTCCCTCTTTGTAAAATAAATTTCTTTTTTTCCTAAAGATTTTATTTATTTATTTGACAGAGAGAGAGATAGTGAGAGCAGTAACACAAGCAGGGAGAATGGGAGAGGGAGAAGCAGGCTTCTTGCCGAGCAGGGAGCCCGATGTGGGACTCGATCCCAGGACCCTGGGATCATGACCTGAGGCGAAGGCAGACGCTTAACGACTGAGCCACCCAGGCGCCCCTAAAATAAATCTTAAAAACAAAAAAAACCAACATCCTGTAATCCAAGGCTGACACATGTTTTGGTGGTGACATATTCCTCAGACAGCAGGCACTTCTATTTGCCAGTTCAAGTGGTTGCCATGTGGCAAGAAGGTAAACACACAATTCAGGAGACCCACAGGGGAAGGAGGCATTGGGGTGAGAGACTTGCATTCTTTCAGATTTTATGCATATCGGGGCCTTTATTAATATTTTTATACCACTGTTTCAAAGCCACACCATTCAGTTGTGTACCAAGACGACAGCCGTGTTGTAGCTAAGCCTCTACCTCCCCCTCTAGGTCGTGGGAAAGATCAACAGGGCCTGCGACACAGCCAGGTGGGGGCAGAGGCATATAGGCAGGGCCTGGCCTGTCCCCAGCTCCTCCACACCACCCTTCCTGAGTCCTAGGGGGCCTCTTAACCCACAGCCTTAACCTGAACTTTGAAGCCTCCAGGGAGAAACTCACTTTTCATAGCATGGCCCAGGACAGGCGGGAGCTGGTGCAGCCGAAAGCCCTGACCAGAGCCCTCAGTTCGGATTTTTGGGGAAACTGGAACATGCAGCAAGTAGGTCTGCAACAAAGCGAGGTCAGAACTAGCCTAGAACTATAGATTCCCAGCCTGGAATCGGTTCTGTCATGGCCCAAGCCCTGCTCCACGTTTCATCCCCTACTGCCCTGTCCTGTAGGATGCCTCCTCCAGGAAGCCTCCCCAGATCCCCTTGGCTCTACGCCCTTCCTGCCACCCCATCACAATACTGTGTCTATTCCTCAGTCAATACCAGACCTGCTCCCCCAGGATTTGGTATCAATGACAGTCTAAATCAGTGGCCAGGGGCGCCTGAGTGGCTCAGTTGGTTAAGCGTCTGCCTTCAGCTCAGGTCATGATCCCAGGGCCCTGGGATCGAGCCCCGCATCGGGCTCACTGCTCAGCGGAGAGCCTGCTTCTCCCTCTCCCTCTGCCTGCCACTCTATCTATGCTCTCTATCTCTCTGTCAAATAAATAAATAAAATCCTTTAAAAAAAAAATAAATAAATCAGTGGCCAGCAAGGAGGGACTGAAGGAGATCTGTCCCCACCCTCAGGCTATTGACTGGGGTACTGACTTGTCCACACACACCTTGCACTGGCAGTTAGCTTCTGCTACCATCTGCTCTTGACTAACTCAAACCCTCCAAGATGTAGGAGCCTCCACCTGCTCCTCCCTCCTCTGAAGGCCTGAATACCCAGATGACAGCAGTAAAGGGTGCCTTGGATGGGGGTGGGGTGGGGGTTGGGGTGGCCACAAGAGGGCCAAGTTCAGGTCCTCCTGCTCTTGGGCAGCTCAATTCCCCTCTCTCAGCCTCAGTTTCTTTAACTGAGAAATGGGACATCTCCAGAGTAATTCAGAAACTAAGTAAGAACAAACAGCAAGGTACTTCATAAAGCTGTGTAATAACATAAGAGGGCTCTGGACACAACCCACACCTACTATGTGCCCGGCAGTCACTCTGATCACTCTCCCCTGGGAGGAAATGGCATGGTGAGCCTTCCCATTTTACACCCAGGACAGCGATGCTTCGAGGTTATGTAATTTAAGATTACTGAGCCCTGGAGCTGGAACTGGAACTCAGGTCAAACTCCATCCACCTCCTATGCTCCTCACACACCCGCCTCCAATCGCCAGCTGCCAACGGTGTTCCAACAGCTCAAGAGGGGGAACAATCCTTCCAGGCTGTTTCCAACCCTCCGACCTCAACCCCTGATTGGAGAGTGGGACAAAATGACAGGGGCCGCTGAGGCGGGTTCAGGAAGGCCGGGGCTGGGAGTCCGCCTGCAACCCCCTGAACCACAACGGGCCTCTGTTTTCTCATCTGTTAAAGGGGGGCCCTACTACTGCCCCTCAAGTGGTGGCAGTTTCAAGAATTACCAGACGTGGCCATGACAAAGCTCGCCTGGGCTCTTGCAGGGTGGGAACCGCCCTCGCATCTCTCCGGGTCCCCACCTGTCACCTGGAGACACCCCTTCTTCGTCCCTCTCCCCTAGGCGTGGAGGGGAGAGCGCAGGTCGCCACCCCACCTCAGTTTCCCCGCCAGCCCCGCGCTCACCGGGGGTCCGGCTGCCATCGCTGAGCGGGTGCCACGGGTCGCGGTCGGTGGCCACGAGGAGGCAGTCGGGGTCGCGCAGGTGCGCGCACGCCTCGCTCAGCTTGGCGAAGGAGAAGTGCTCGTCGTAGCCCACGAGCACGGCGCGCACGCGCGGGGCCGCGCCC